TCAAAAACAAAGAAAAAAGTCATCGCCGTAATGCATGTTAAAATAACGCATCGACGTACCCTGCAGTAATCATTGTCAAAAGTCGTAGCACACTATTTCTGCTCCTGCCACACACGTTTTTTTGTTGCCAGGTAAAATAAGACAATCCACATTGATTCCCACCAAACAACCCTTCCTCCTTAAATCCTGTTCTCATTCTGGCCGACCTCCCCGTTTTTCCAAGTTGTTATCAGTCAGAGGGATAATTAAGCCTTGTGGGACTGCTGTGGGCCCCTCTCTTCTCACTTGTCAAAAGTTAGTGGGAGGTATCAAACGCCTCTGAAACACAAGCTAAATGAGAAAGCTAATCTGCCAGACAGCAGACGTGTTGCTGGAGATGCCTTGCTTTCCCATGACCCTCATTCGGTACTTAAAGACAAAAGTTCAGCCATACTTTGAGAAGAGCGTGTGTTCATGCTCACTGAAAATGTGCGGCCCTAAAAACAGAAACTCTGCTTGTGAAGCAAACAAACAAACCAGTCTGCTGATGCAATTAGCTGATAAGCTGATCAAACGGGGAGAAATCTGCAAGTTAAAAAATGATGAAATGGTTAGGTCTCGAATATGAGGATGCTCTGCTTTCCCCTGCATCGTGTTACTGCACATTTATGTGTTTTTATCCATTTTAAGCATTTTATTATTTCAACCTCATGTCACTGAGCCATATTTAAAAAAACCTGAAATAAGTTAAGCTTTTAAGCAGCTGCCAAAAAACATTCAACATGTACAGTATATAGCTGGAAATTTAACCTTTTGTTGAAGCAGTCATGTCATCAAAACATTCTGCTCATTGTGTCTAACAGGATAATGCTTGTATGCTTGAAGTCAGTACCATCGGACAGAGAGGGAAAAAATAACAATCCTGTGGCATTATAGGGAAGTGCAGGTAAGAAAATATCTTATTAGGTGTGTAGTTCAGGCTTTCAGGCAGATTTAAAAAAGGAAAGGTGTCAAGAAAAAAAAAATTCTCCTGCTGGCTGTTCTCACTTCCTGTACCTTAAAAACAGGAAGTCCAAACTTTTTTTGCTCACCATAACTTTTTGAGTTGCTGTTTTCTGCAAAATGTCAGCAGATACAGTTTCGGTTAAAGGGGACATATCATGCAAAAACTACTATTCTAGCTGTTAAATACAATTTTTTATTGGAGTCTGTAGGAGGCAGAAAAGTTAGAATTTAGTCTCTCCCATTGCTGCAAAGATTTCTTTACACTCTGAGTCATATTTTTCAATCAGTTCAGTTTTCTCTGACGTTTTCTAAACTCTTATATCAAATCATTTGTAATGGGATTGCCAATTAAGGTCTGGACTGACCAACTATAATTTTGAGTCTTCGTTCTTCGCTGGCTCTGGGTCAGACATGTAAGGCTGGATGGACAAGTCTTCTGTTTTTGACATCTTTTAATTACTTTGTAAACAAAAATGTTTCTGCACCAATAGATAAACCCCTCCTATAAAACTGGATTGCACTGCTCTAGAAACTGGATGGGGGCGGGATGTGAAGTGCTTTGTTTGAGTTTAAAGGAACAGCATCAAAACGAGTTAATCTGAGACACACCTCAGAAAAGAGGTGAAAGAGGGGCTTGTAGTTCCACTTTATAAAGACCCCAACTGAAGGATTTAAATGTAAAAAAAGAAGGATTTAAAAGCATCATATGTCTACTTTAACAAATGCTCTGTTTTTTCTGTTTGCTCTGTTTGTGCTGGCAATGTTGTATATGCTGTTAAGTGCCAGGAGGACTGCGACGAGTTATACATCGGGGAAACAAAGCAGCCACTGTTCAAAAGAATGTCCCAACACAGACGAGCTAATTCTAATGGCCAGAACTCTGCAGTTTTCACTCATTTACAGGCCAGCGGTCACTCTTTCAGAGATGAGGATGTTCTCATTCTTGATAGGGAGGAACGTTGGTTTGAGAGAGGAGTAAAAGAAGTCATTTTTGTAAAGAAAGACCGTCCATCATTAAACAGAGGTGGAGGCCTCCGTTTTCAGTTGTCCCCCTCCTACAGCGCTGCCATTGGCAGTATCACTCCACCCCTGTTAACAATAGGTATTAATTAGGTGTGAACGATAGCCATATGATGTGAGTATCAGTCACCTGGAGGCAGGGCTTAAAAGCCTGAATTTTGCCTGAAACTCTCAGACTGAAGAAGTCTCTTGGAGGAGAGACGAAACGTTTCATTAGAGAAGAACCCGTCCAGAGGACCTATACAATTTTTTCCTTTTGAATGCCCACTTTGTTTTTAGCTGTTTTCAGCTTACTGTTAGCACATCTTACCACCCATGGGCGCTAACTGACCTGATAGCCTTCTCCATTTGATCAAAGAGAAATTGGAAATTTAAATATTTTTCATTCCCCATGCAAATTCAGAATCGTTGTTTTTTTTTGTTTGTTTGTTTGTTTGTTTTTTTGAAAATGACTTTTACCTTGCTTTTATTTTGAAGGCGAGTGGGTGTTAGCTTTAGCAACATTTGTGTGTGCACCAGCTGGGGAATGCTTTGTGAAAAATTAGGACTGTCTTTGTTAGCACCTGATAAAAAAAAAACTGATGCAGTCTGTAGTTTTTTAGCCTAGCCCTTGCCTTCCTACACAGCTCCACTCAGTTCTAGTTTCCCTTCACTGCTCCCTCTGGGATTTCTCCCATTGAGATGGATTTCGCTGGCAGATTTTTAGCCGAACCAATCAGAGAACAGAACGTGAATTTTCTGCTCAGTGTCTGCTTGTAGTTTATTTTACCTGGGCCAGTCAGAGAACAGAAGGAGGACCTTTGAATGACGTCGATTTTCTGCGCAGTGTCTGCTAGTTATTTTAGCATACAGCAGTGGAGGAAGTGAATGAAGCCAGTCTGTGTTGATAAGGCTTCCAAATTAAAATAAATTTGTCTGACAAAGCAGCAGCTCTCATTTACAGTCGTCTTGTTCAGCTCGGTGCATTTCTCCTCTCAGTAGGGTTGTTTACAGCACACGCGATTTCCGGTTAGCTTCTTAGCTTAGCCTCCTTCACAGCGACATACGTCACAGCCAACTGATCCAATCATTTTAAACTTCAGCTGAGGCCACGCCTCCTGCAAGAATCAATTCTCTATGCATCAAGTCCAGACCCTTGTACGAAGCAAAGTGAAGGACAAGGGGCTGGTTTAAACCAGGCTAGTAGTTTTTAGCATGATTGAATTTTTTTAATTGTTCATTTTCTGAAATCAGTAGCAAACAGTAAACCTTAATTTTGTTTTTTTAAGGTTGTAAATTAAACCAGTTTTATCAGACTAAAAACACATCAGTAGCTTCGCTGACTATCTTTAAAAAGCAACAAAGTCTTTGTACCAAGATTTACACATTCAGGAAGGAAGTACTAGTTCAGTGGTATACTACAAACAGAAAAAAAAACAATGAAATACAACAGTAAGTTCTTTGATGTGGAGTTTATTGGTGCTTGGAGGACTAATCATGTAAATGAAATATATATAGATCACATTAGAGTACATCTGGTTCAGATTTTTATTGCTCCGTTAAAATATCTTCTTTAGCAGCTAATGAAAATTATAATAATGGCTACTTATAAATCTATGTTTGACAGAGTTGAGTGTCGGTGCGACCCACCACAACAGACCATGTTCTTTATGTGGCTGTTGGAGGGTGGGGACAAAAAACTACCTACCGTTTATCACTGTTAGCTCTGCAGCCTGTCAGACCTAAACACCATGGTAAATGGCTTGACCTTATAGCACCTTATCAAACTTCAAAGTGCTTTACACTTCTGTCATTCACCCATACACACATTCACACACTGATGGTGCATGCTGGCAGCAATGACCAGCAGCAGCAGGGTGAAGTGTCTTAATGGACACAATGAATGGGGGATCAAACCCAGGACGACTCCTCTGACCACTGCCACAGCGGTGCTAAATGATGAAATCTGACACTTGATGTTAAGGACATAAATGCACAAATGGCCTGCCAATCACCGTTATAAAGCATTGAATGACTTAATTGCTTGCCAAACTGGGGCCTTTTGTCACCCGTTTCTTACTACCTAAAATCACAATCATTGCAGATGTGATACAAACAAGGAGGTTGTTCTGTTTTTGCTTGTTATTCTGAACCAGCCACTTGTACTTTGTTTGAAGTGAAGTGCTTTTAATAACTCTGTGTCTTTTCTGACATGGCTGTTAACAAAATGATGTTAAATTAAATACACATGGAGCAATGATCACCTGAGACTGATGTTTAGTATTTGATGTTGAGTTCAAACGTCATACATGTTCCATCCCTGATATAATATAAAACTCATTATTTTTAGCCTTTGGCCATCTTATTTTATGTTACTTGGGGTCTGATCCTCTTATCCTTTTCAACAAAACAGCTCAGAGAACAAAGACTGAATCTATCTGGAACCAGTAAGCAAGGAAAATTATAAGTTATATACATGTATATATTATGAAAAGTGTGTTGTCTGCAGAATAAAATAAAATGTCATAATTTCTCTTAAAGTTTTTATAGAAAATCTGTTCACAGATCAAAGTTGTTTCAAACACCTGGGTTTGTTGTCTGGAATCACACCTTCACTCAAGAACTGTTATTTATATCAGTGTGAAATGTCAGGAGGTGAACCTTTGGAGATGACTTTGTAAATTAAAAGAAATCGACAGCAATAAAATTAAAAGAAATTAAAATGCACAGTTCTTGCAGTGATTCTACGAACTGCAAATTGAGTTCTGCTGCTTTTCTTCCTGTTTTTTTTCCCAACAGCATCAAACACCATTAGAGCACAAACAAGACTTCCAGATTGTGCCTTCAGTTAAAGCTGCGATTTGTCACATTCTGATGAAGCGATGACACCGTCTGATAAGTGGCATGACTGTTGTTCTGGTGACAACCGAGAAAACGTGAAAAATATGTGACAGTGGTGTGGTTAATATGCTCCGTGTGGAACTTGAACAAACTTTAGAAAAAGAGCCAAACCTTACCTTCCTGCTGATGTGATCGGGTCAGATGTTGATTTTTACGAGTCTTTTCTCCCCTCCCTGGGCTGGCACGAATCCTTCAGTCAAAACATGGGATGGTCTGGAAAAATGAGGTCAAAAGAAGATGAAAAAAAAGGAATATAAAGCTGATTTCATCATTCCAAACATACCCGTGTATTTTCAAAAACACATCGGTTGAAAACATGTCCTTACATTGCATCTGTATTCGGACAGAACAAATATTTATTGACTATCTCTTCTCTTCAATTTCAATTTATATAGTTATTCTGTCAGAAATAATTGCCACCAGGCAGCACTGGAAGAGCTACAGCTAACTGCTGCTGATACCTGAACTTACAAATACTGTACATGTAAAAGTCTATGTTACTCCCGAAGCATTCTGAAAATATCTGAAAGGATCTATGCTTTTTGCTTTTTGATGGATTTCTGGTTCCTAAGTGTTAAATTCATCTGATAATTTCCCCTGACCCTCCTGTTTCACTAAAGTTTTACTCCAAATTCAGCATAACTCCTCCTTTGCCACAGATTACATTTTGCATGTAATTCTATCCAGATTCACTTTTTTGTTTTATCTCATTTTATTTATAATTTTTAATTGCATTAGGCCAATTAAAAGGTATCAGTCATGGACCAGTATCACAGACTGGATATGTTAATGAATGTTAATGACTGGAAAAAAAGTTTTATTCACAGATGTGTAAAAACATGAACCTGAACATAAATGTCAGCCTTTCGTATTTTACAATCCCCTAAAATTGAAAATGCTAATAAATTTAGGGGTTATCGAGACTGATAATGATTTTTATAATTATTTTCCCCTTTTCAGATTAGTGCCCTACAAATTTAATTGATGCAACAATGAACATGTACAGCGGGTAAAATAAGTATTGAACACGTCACCATTTTTCTCAGTAAATATATTACTAGAGGTG